AAAAAATAATAGCAGATTCGTAATTTCCATCTAAAACTAAATCTATAGACATGTCATTTATATATTTTGAACGCAAAAAATTTTTTTGAAAAAAATCCTGGAAGGTATTGCAGACAAATTTTTTTTTAAACTGACTCAATGAGAAAAAGATTCGATACTCTCAAAGCTGCTGAAGGAAATCATATGATTTTTTTTTTCATAAACGTACATTTATGAGAAGTTTATATTTCTAATAAATTGGAAATTCTATCATTTACAATTTAAGCTGATGAGGGAGCATGATAATTCTTTTATAGACTTGATATAATAAAATCTATGGCAATGTTTATGCTCAAAAGGGCACATATATTGCAATTTTTATTACATTTTTCAATAAAAATAATATCAAATCTGTGATCTCTGTCAAAAATTGCGTCCACTGATATATAAATCGAGATATTTCAGTTCAAAAAAATGTTTTTTTTCGTCACAAATATACAAATGACATATCTGTAGATTTAGTTTTTGATGAAGATTACAAATCTGCTATTATTTTCTGTGAAAATATATACATAAAGAATGAAAATCGCAAAGTATGAGTGCATTTTGGCATATAATTCGAAGCATTTCAATAATTTCATAGGCAATAATTGTTCTAATTGCACTCAGAAATCCAGTTTCTGATGAGCATTAATTTAGTATAAAATACTTTATGATATCATTTATACTTTAAGTTGTAGAGGGAAGGGGCGTAATAATTTTGTTACATCTTGTACATTCCTACCGAAATTAGTGTAAGCTATCAAAGTTCATAGATTTAATATTTCAAAAAAAACTCATTCCTATATATAACGAAAACAATGATGAAAAGCTGAAAATTTATTTTTTAGGTGCACCGATGCCAGGTCAAGTACTTGATATAAAAGCGAAAGTAGGTGATACCATCAAAAAAGGTGATACAGTTGCTGTATTAAGTGCTATGAAGGTATGTAAAAATAAAATTAATTTCATTTCATGATATTATATATTTTTTCTTTTGATTAATATTTTAGATGGAAACTGTAGTGAAAAGTCCTATGGATGGTAAAGTAAAACAAGTTCATGTTAATGCTGGTCAACAAATACATGGTGATGATTTAATTATTGAATTAGAATAATTATCTATTCAATAATAGTTTGTTATTCTTTTCATATGATCCATATTTTATGTATTTTATCTCATTATTGAAATAAATCCGTTTGTGTTTTTCTTCTAACAATAACAATTGCTTGTGTTTTGCTCAAAACAATTCTATTGTAGTCTTTCCCTATACGTATTTTATTTGTTTTTATGAGTGACTATCCTACATAGTAAAATGATTATTTTCTTTTTGTTTTCAACACATCCTCAAATCTACTAGAACAATGAAATATAATAAAATTTCATTTCATTTTTCTGCTTTTGTATCTTGTAGTTTATTGTTTTTATATTTTTTATTGTCCATAAATAATAAATAAAATTTTTACATTGTATTAATTAATAGATTAGTTTTTTTAACGGATGGTGAAAAAAAGTTTCTAGATCAAATGTTTTTTCATCTATCGATCGATTATGAGAGTCAGGAGGAAATTTGCAGTATTGGATTATCCAAATATATGTCCGGAATTTTTGGGAAACTCATAGGTTAGGAATTATGAATGAATCTTTGAAAGATTCGAAAGATAAAGTCTGAACGGAAACAGTTGAACTAACTGATCTAGAAACGGCGAATCGGGTCGGATCCTGTTGGAAACTGATTCTGTGCAACATACTTGTTTTCGTCATAAAGGTACTTAAGTAAACTTAGTTCCATAACCTTTTACTTGACTGCACATCATGTTCTGAAATTTCTAGAGATCAGCACCTAGATCATATATGTCCTTTATAGTAACATAGCCGGTGGAGCTCTTAGACTTGGGAAGACTGAATTCAATCTATGTTTTTTTGAAAGACAGTCTTCGGTAGTATAATGAAAGACTGAATAAATGTTTTTTTTATGTAATGAAGAAAGTGAAGATTTGAACTCGTTCGGTGACAATCACTATCACAAATTCTGAGATAAGCTTATGTTTACGTTGAACAATAGCGCAATAGGTGAATGTACGGACAAAAAATTAAATGATTCATTTTTTCGACTAGTGTCTTACAAAACGCTAGGTGGGTTAAGAAGTGTTGCTTAAAATTGTTTCATATAGGTTGAAGTAGTTGTATTGTTTGTCGAAAAGTGACCAAGGTTTGCTAGACATTTCAGTTAATTCTGTTCGACACTCTAGTGTACAAAAAGAAGTGTTAACTATACTTCTCAGTCAGTAGTGGACTTGGGATTTGGAACCAAAGAGGACGATTATAGGCAGAACACACTTTCTGGGCTCATCCAAGGTAGTGTATACTCATTTTTTGCTTGGAAAAATCAAAGAAATTTCTCGAAGGTGGAAGACCGCTCCTTTGCTCTAAATCTATCATTGCCTTAAGTAGTTCCAAGGAAAAACGAAAGGATTGTAAAAGTGAATAACTATCCTCTTTGTTCGTTGTCTCGTCAACATTTGAAATTGTTTTTTGAAAACCGTCTAGAGTGACATTGCTTCGGTGTCTACATACAGCAATAATACATTTATTGAATACCTTCTATTACCAATTATTTTGCAAATCATATAGAACGAGACAGCCTACTAAAAAGCAGGCCAAGGACTGAAAATCTCACAGCAATTCTTCAGAAATAATCGAGCTGATTTAGTAAGTCTTGAAATCAAGGAGCTTCAAAGACGTCAATATATCTTTTACTAAAAGTCTTGTTATTGGTAGAGGTGTTGTAGAAAACAATTGAATAAGATATCATTTTGTTAAGCAATGCTTGCTCTTTCTTTTAGTATAATCTATGAATTTTTTCTTATCAATACAAATCAAATTATTCAATATTCGATCTTGTTTATGTACGTTTGAAATCAAACTTGTCAATCATGTTCATTTTTCAAATAATGAATTATCTAAAGTTCCTTTTTTTGTGTCTATACAAATGCGTCATCATACAGTAACTTTTAACCTTGTATAGTTACTGATAATAATATTTAATTTCATTATATTGAATAATCTATGGTGTATTAAAAAGTCAAGTAAATAAATTTTCCTTTTTTTTTTATTCCTATCTTAAATTATTTAATCAAGATAAATTTGTGTAAGAAATTTACAATGAAATTAAGTTTGGACTATGAAAAAAATTACGAAAACAATTGAAATACTTCAATAATCAAGCAATTTTAAATGAATACCATGGTCCAGAAAAATTGACTTTCGACTTGAGACTTTGCATAGCGAGAGTAGTTTATTGTGAAAGTTTCAAATCTTTTGACTCGTTTCTATTCTGAACTAAGAGCATAGGAATCTGTGCCGTTGTATATGAGTGATATACAGGACACGCTTTTACCGTGATTATATCTTTAAATAGAAACAACGAAAAGATCTGACACTTTCACAAGAAACTATTCTCACTATACAAAGTCTCAAGTCGAAATTTCAAAATCTTTTTTCCTTTGACAATGATATTCATTCAAATAATATCGTAAAAGTACAATATCTTCGCAACAATAAACTGAGAGCACGAGCTCTTTTCAGGATATTCAGAGGTCTCGCAAATAGAGACCGGCAGTGTCACGTTTCTTTTAACTCCGACTACGAAAAAACTCTGAAATTTTTTTCTATTCAAATCAAGATTTCCATTTTGCTAATAATGATGATGATAGAGAAGATATTGACGTTTTGGATTTGTGGCATGAACTACAGGATTTATTTCCAACATTATCTTCAATTGCTAGGAAAATCTTTGCAATATCGGCTTCAAACATTATGCTTGAACGCCTGCCTTTTCTCATCATCGGAAAAACAGTGTTGACGAGTGTAGAATAAATTTTGATGATGAAAAGCTCAATCAGCTCATGTTTCTTCAAAGAAAAACTTAGTTTTATTGAAAGAATTTCGTCGGGTGAAGAAGACGCCAACAAAAAGATCAAATTTAGATCCAATTTCAATTATGTCAGGACATTCAAGTGAAACAATAGTTAAAAAAGCACGTGAAGAAGATAAAAATATATCTAATGACGAAAGTAGAGACATTGAATGATGCTCATGTTTTTTTTTCGCAATAATCATTTGTAAAAGTTAATTTAATGTAGATGTTTTTTTTTTGTTTTTTTCTATTTGATGTTGCTTAATAATTGAATTAAAAGTTCTTGTTAACAAGAAGTTACAATTGTGAAAAGTAACTCTTGCAGAAGCAAAGAATGTAATAGGGTTTTCAGAGTGTATGTAATTTCCATTGACTTCGACTCTGCCGAAGTCGGAATTAGATGCAGGTCTCTACTCGCAAGGTCAACAATATTGGGAAGGGGGACGGTGATCCTTGTCGTAGGAACTGATGAGCGAAAAACTATACAAAATCGTTCGGTTTCCTTGGAAAAAACGAAAATTTTCCAAGACATTGGGGACATTCTTGAGGGCATTCATAGGTCATTAAAATCTACATAATGCACGTAGTCTCATCGAAAAAAGTGATTTATCAGTTGAGAGAATTTCTAGTTTACATAAAATGAAAATTATTATTAAATCGGTAAGATAGATTATTCATCAAAGTTCCATTAATTGTTGATATTAATCAAACAATGATTAACTTAGAAAGGATATAACTTTTCTAAATTATTTTCTTACATTGATATAATTTGTTGTTTATGTAGTGAAAAATGTTATTATTTTAATCTGAAACAAAAAAATATATTTTTGACTTTTTCGATGGAAAAATAAAAACTCTTCATTAATTCTTAATTAATCACTCATCAAAAATTGAACCAACTTCTCCATAAAATAAATATTTCAATTTTTCAAATAATTATATACAAATATAAAATAGATATATATATATATACTTTTAGTATTGAATTCAAAAAGAAAATTTGAAGCATAAAGCATATGTTATTCCTTATCTGACAAGGAAACGAAAAAAAACAAAACAAAGTTAACGAAATGGATTAACTGTATTTCTATAAATTCCATCTTTCATAAGAAAATAAATAAATTCATCTTTCGTTACACGACCATCATTTGATATGTCTAATTTTTTCATAAAATCTTTTGCAACTTCTTCTGGTGGATAATCTTCAATATGTTGTATACCTAAAAGAGTATACATTGCTCGAAGAACTGGTTCGATTTCATCTAAAATTAAATATATCTTTCATTTTTTCTTTTTATATATATATATTTTTGTTTTTCTACCTTCAGTTAAATATCCATTTGAATCAAGATCATAACATTCAAATGCATAATCTAAACGTGATCGTAGATCACCACGTGAACATATAGCAAAACCTAATAAAAATTCTCCAAATTCAACAAAACCATTACCATCAACATCAAATGCACGAAATATATGATCACACATATCATTTAAACGTTCAGGTGATTCATTACGTAGAATACGATAAAATTTACGAAATTGAAAACGATCAAGGTGACCATTAGGATTTTCATGAAAAAATTTTTTATGCCAACTAACTATTTCATCTGGTGAAAGACCTATGAAAAGAAAAAAAAAAGAAAGTAGATTCATTCGAAATATTTTATCTTCTTTAGATTATCAACATTGAAAAATACATTGATTAAAAATACAATCAATATAAATTATGAAAATACAAAACAATTTTTCTATTTTTAATTTCATTTGTTTTATTTATTTATCCAAACTATTTAGAAGCTTTATATGAGGCTGTATATAATAGATATTCTACGTCTTATATTCATTCATTAACGTATGCAGAATTTTATGGATTTGCTTTCGTATTAAATCAAAATAAAGTATGTGATTAATTGAATCAGGATGCTCATACTATTTTAAAATTAAAGAACGGGGCTGGTCTGAGGCAATCAACATTGAGGAGAAGAGGGGATATTACTCCTCCGGCCGGACCATCCGTTTTGACCAACAAGAACAAATAAATGAATAAAAGACTTCTTTGAATAAATTAAACTAAGTCTCCGTATTGAAGAGGATTCCTCCTCCTTACCGGGTGTAAAAAACCAGAATTTTTTCAAGTTTTGGTTTTTCATCGCTAATATATTTTCCAAGTGTCCTATGTCAAATGCCATATAAATGAGGACTCTTCATTGTTAGTTAGTACTTTTATTACACCCAACTTTCGAAATTCATAACAGAAAAACTTATGTTGCGATTATTTTTTTATCCCAAAATTCTCTCAATGATAATGATTATTTCTCATTCCAAGGGTGTTGAGAGCATGGATGATCATCATCTCCTAATACTGCTAGTTTTCGATCACTTCAATCGAAAAAAAAAGTTCTGATACATACAGAAGAATTTGTTTTTTTTTATTTTTCTCGAAATTAATTTTTACACAAAAAAAGTGTAGAATCGCCCCACATTTCTCTGACATACTACATTCGATCGAGTTGAAACTCTTCTTTTTATAGGTACTGGACACTGTTTGGCGTGTTTTGAAAAATATTGCATCGTTGATTTGTGGCAGAAGAACACATGTGATACATTAAGTATTCTAATGTTTTTTATTCGAATGGAAGAAGACAAAAAAATAGTAGGCGCCTTAAACACAATGTCTAGCATCTGTAAAAAAAATTCGGTCTTATTGCAACTGAAATAGCCAGACGATTTTTAATCTTTGCGACTCAGATATTTTCTAGAAGAAAGTATTAGACCAGTTGAAGTCCATGATGACTTTTGCTCTACTTCTTGAGATCTATGTGTTCAGAAAGTTTTAAATATTTCTGATGATCTGTTCTTCATAAACCCTGGAGAGGGTTACCATAATGACATATGTGGAATGTACATACTCGTTCCAGCCGTCAAATACAATCAACTATACTAAGACATACATGAGTTAAAAAATAACACATAAACCTTTATAAAGGTTACTATAATATAATTCTCATATATATAATTTATCTACAAAATGTTTTTTTTATTTTTCCATATAGAATTGCTATCACAACTGAGACATAATACCGTATTGTATTTCTTAAAATTTTCTGTCGATTATATCAATCAACAATTTTTTTTTTTTTGATTTTATCATAACTATTTAAAGAAATTTTTATAAATACCTGTTTGTGAACGAAGAAAATCAATATCTCTTTCAGATAACTCGATTCGTTTATGTTCTTTCTTGACTGTAGATGATTTTGTTGGTTCATTCGTATTTTGATGAAATCGTTTCATATAGGCAGCAGGCATATTTTCCATATTTAACGTACCTTTTACATTACCCATTATATTATCTATAACAAAAACGAAATGAATTACAGTTATCTTGCTTTTTTTGACAGTAAATAATTGTACAATACTTTCTTTTCTGTCGTTGTTGTTAAATTACAACGAAATGAATAGAATGACGTAGCTTTGACGTAGGTATGACGGAGATAAATGTATATATTTGCTTTTTTAACAAAATAATCCAAATGATTTTTGTCTTCTCTCTTTCTCTCTTCTTTTTTTTTTCGACATAGTTATATCTGTCACTTGCCTTTTGTGTATGTATGTGGTATCCTATGCATGACACGAATAAGAACGACACGTTTAACTTTATGTTTTTTTGTCCTACATGTATATGTAACTGCGTTTTTTATTTTCATCATTAATAAATAAATCGAATAAGTATGTGTACATATGATTCTTTTGTATCACTAAGGTATGGCATAGATGTCTCTCATAGTCAAGATATTGCTTTATGGATGTGATTTCTATTTTGCTACTCTATGGACCAATACGAATTATGATTGTTAACTTGATGAGATTGTCTTACTACGTAGAAGAGATTGATAAAACTTTATGACTTTTTTTAAAAAACATTCAGTAGAATATAAAATAATATTAATTTTTATCATTTGTGATATTATATAATTCCACGAAGTTTACAAGAATATGTAGATGGAAATTTTTTTTAATGAATTATATTTATGGGACAGACGAGTGAATTGAATTCGAAAAAAAAAATCCATAACAATGTATAAGCCTCAAATCTCACTAGCTTGGAGATTTACCGAATGTATTTTCTCTCGTTTACTTTGTATGGGACTAGAAAAAAAAAATTGATATCCTTCATGCAACATAAATTTGTATTTTATCAAAGAATATTTTTCACTAGAGGTCAATCCATACATCCTTTCAACTATTTTTCAATGAATTTCACTCAATGATTCAAATTCTGATGGAAAATATTTTTTAATAAGAGATAAGCTGGTTTGCGCTGCTAGGATTTACTTTGCATGAAGGGTATAAAAGTTTTTTCCTGTCTAAGAGGAAGAAAAAGATATTCGGTAAATCCATAAACTAACGAGATTTGACACGTTTGGAATTAATGTATTTTTATAGATTCAAATAGACATGGCACATCAGCAACTTTCGATAATAAATTCAATTTTATTATCGAATTTTGCTTTATAAAAGTATGATTTTTGTATTAATGCATTGAGTGAATTTCGTGCACTAGATCAACTTACTATTTTTATATATCAATTGTTTTCCCTCATATATTCTTTTAGTTCAAAGAGAAAAATTCCAATTTGTATGGTTTATTAAAAGCACGACATATTTTAATACCCAAAAATATAAATCCGATACCTTAAAAATATTTGAAATCGTATTCGATGAGTTTATAGCTATAATTTATCAGCTACCTAATACCTAGACTAATATTATACTAATTAGTCAGCACATCTTTATCTCAATATTGACTTAAACTGTTTGACTTTGTTTTGTTCTGCACACTTTTCGACTTTCGATGTATTTTTATGCTCTCTCGTACAAGTGTTATCTGATTGGCTTAGCTACCATTGCCACACAAAAATAGATATTTGACTTTTAAAAATTTCCGACTTTTCAAATCATTTTTTCGAGACATTCGCGTGTAGATTGTTGATAATAAGTTCTCTCTCTACTTTTTTTCATTGAAAAATTTCAGTCGTTGTCGTTGTCGTCGCCGATGAATGTATCGACTTACACATCTCTATTCTCTTGGTTAAACACTCGTATTTACAATCATTGATACAATACATCTTATCTAATTCATACATTGATATTTTATATTTTATTTTATTGTAAATATAAAATTTTGTAGATTAAAATAATGTCTTTCTCATATTTGAGACTTCAATTGAAATTACTATCAAATAATATGTTATCATTTGTAAGAACTTTTCGTCAAGCACAAAGATCAACTGGACCTAAGTGTAAGTTTAAATTTATATTAGATAATATATAAATTTTGAATTCAATCTTTAGCTCAAATCGGAGAATTTCGTGTATTACAATTAACACAATCAAAAGGTAGTGGATCTGGTCCAATGAAAAAACGTGGAAAACTAAAATTTAAAGAGGTTTGTTTTTTGTTCATAATACGTATTAATAAATAGTAAATTCAATTTGATTATTTAATTAGGTTCCACCACCACGTTATTTACGTATGTCAACTGATCAAGATTGGACAAATGTTTGGCCAACAGCTACAACATTTAAACAAAGTGTTGTACCATTACCTATAACTCAAGGTTATGTTTCATCGGATAATGAGAATAAAGGTTTACCAGTAGAAAAATATGCTAATGCTGAACTTATGAAAATTCCAAATTTTTTACATTTAACACCTAATCATATAAAAAAACATTGTGCTGCAATTAAAAGTAAATCTAATTTATATGTTTTTTTTTTGTTCTATTAATAATTTTCATTTAATTAGAATATTGTACACCATGGCCAGAAGAATTAAATTCTGATGAAGCATGTGAATATTATTTACCTATAGAAATAACAACATATGATTATCTTAATTCAACACCATCTATACGAGATTCTCGAGCTCGTGTTGTTAAATTTCAGGTATTTATTATATAATGATTTTTCTATTGAATTTCTTTTTTTTTTATATTATGTTTTAGTTTAAATTAACACAACTTGAATTTGATGAACATGCTCGAGATAAATTTGTTCGTTTAGCCGGACAAAAATACAATGCAGATAAGGATGAACTTACTTTAATTGCTGACAAGTAGGATAGTATTTTTATTTTTAAAGCCTTCGCCTTCTTCAGAAGAGATTTTACAGAAGACATTTCGTGGCAGTTGTATTGAAAATTTTTTCACTTCACATATATCTCAAGACTAAACATAGAAGAAAATCTGAGAAAAGAACTGCTAGCTCTAAATGTCAGCTTTCAAATATTTGACTTTATCTCATAATGTAATAGAATACCGTTGAAGATACGTTGTCGAAATTACGCTTTGAGAAAATGTGATAATAAGTTTTTTTTTAAAATATTTTCTACACAATAATGAAATGATATACAGGCAAGCATATAATGTACTAGTTAATAATACCCATCAAAATTGATCAAATTGAGTTTAATATACCACATAACAATAGATTGATCGACTAAAATTTTTGAATGAAGAATAAGGTGACATAACGCATTAATGTCTGTTTAAAAAAAATAATGCCCGTGAGTATTTTTGCAATAACTCAAGAATGGAAGGAGCTACAGACCTGCGGTTTTCACCCGTCGAAGAAGAAGCTATCCGGACGTCTTTCTCTCTAATATTATATAAGACAGAATCATTCTTACAAAACATCGAAAAAAAGTATAAAAATAATCTGTCATTCAGATCAAATTTTGATAAAAAGTAAGAACATATGCTTAGAAATTAAAAGAAATTTAAATTTTTCGAGGGACTAAATAGACAATTTTGTTGACTTAACATTAGAATATGTGAAGATAATCATTCGAATTATATCTTAAACTATACATCTGAAACCCTTCTATTTAAAGCACATATCAAAACCAAAATTTTATCGAAATAACAAGCCGTTTTCATATGTTTTTTCCAATATTTTGCAGAAATGATTTTGTCTTATAGAATATTGAAGAAAAAGGTGTCCCAATGTCTCCTCTTCCGAAAACCGCAGCTCTATAGTTCTTTCCGTTGTTGAGTTATTGCAAAAATACTCATGGTCATTATTTTTTAAACAAGCATTAGTTCACGATATTTTCAGAAATGTATCAGAACAAATAAATTTTTCTGGCTTTAGCCAAAAAATTAATTTTGGGGGCGTGAATGTGGCTGCGAGTTAGGAGAAGATGAGCATTCACATTCACTCTATTATAATTTGAATAATCGAAAATAGAAACATTCGAATGAAGACAACTAAACTATCGAAGCACAACTTCTTCACTTTTATTTCGTTTGTTAATAAATAGACATCTCATTCTTTTTGTTGTTCATATGCATGAAATATTTTTCATGCGAGACTCATAGTACTTTTGGCATTATTTTGTGAAACGGCTGTACTTTTGCCGTTGTTTTCTTAACAGAAATCCAGTAATCGACTCTGTCCAGTAACGATTGGAACTAGAAAAATCGCACCACTAAATTTCTGCTTCCAATATATCAATTTTTTTCGGCGAGAATCTGCGAAAGTTGCACCCACAAAAACTAATTCTTTTGTGAAAAATGATTTTCTTTAAAATGAAATCTATTCTTTTCAAAAAATTGATTTTTTTGTAGCAAGATTCAACTTTTTCAGTTGAAAGTTCATTTTTTTCTAGAAAGTATCAAAATGAGTGAATATATTTGAAGTCTGTTAAGATTGAAGCTGCAATTATATGATAAATTTTTATTACTAAAATATTTTTTGAAACTGTTTTCTTTTCGGTTAATTCGAATTTGATTAGAAAACACTCTCTACAGTCGTTTAGATATTAATCGTAAGTAGAGAAAAATTGAAATTTATCTGATGACTTAAACACAGATAGCAAATATTATGTGTAAAAATGAATTTCATTGCTAGAACTGAGAAGAAACTAATATCATTATCGGGTTTTGTTAATTATATATTTATGAGAAATAAATAAATAAATAAATAATTACTTTCTTTAGATGTCCGTATCGAAAACAAAATTATGATTATGCTCAATATTTATTAACAGCATTGTATTTTGAATCTTGGGTAAAGAAATTGATTTTTGTTTTTTTTAAACATTAAATCTTATATTATCTGTTTTATTTTTCGTCATATTAGAAAACTGAAAATTGGGAAAAAGATAGAACAAAGAATGATTGGCAAACATATTATTGGGATAAAAGTCCTTCACGTACTCGATTACTTGATATACTCAAAGCTTCAGAGGTCTTTTTATTATAAATTTGCATACAAGTTTCATATTTATTTAAAAATAATTTCTTATCTTTTTTTTTTTTAGAAAGATCCAAAATCTGTTCTTGATGATAATAAAAAACTCATTGAACGATATCGTGCAAGTATAAGTCGTGTTCAAGATGAAGGTGTTGAAAATGAATTAAAAAATTTAACAGATTATAAAAATGATGTACTCATGTTATACAATCTAAAATTATAATAATATATAATGATATATCTAGGTTGACTTGGTTTGTTTTTTTTTTATGTCTTGCTCTTGTTTGTAGATTATTATATTCATGTCATCATCTAATCTTGATAAATTAGTGTCAACAAAGTATGGTTGGCATGTTAATTTTGATAAAAAATTCGATTCAAAATGGAAACCATTTGGAAGACCAAGAGCTAGACAATTAATGGAATATGTACCTTTATTTATGAGGTTAATTATAGAAATTTTGAATAAAAGAAAAACATATTAATATAATAGATATCTTCGTGTATGGTATAAATTAAAAAAAGAAAAACGAAGAGCACATATGGACTTTATTAATCCAGTACCACTTCAACAAATTTATGGTAAACAAATCAAAAAGTTTTATTTTGTTAATATTCAAATAGATAAATTAAAAATTAAAAATTTAATACACATTAATATTTCGTTGAACAAATGATAATTATCTTATGAATAAACATTCCCATACTATTTCTCTTCGATCGATCATGATGAGTAGTAAAATATCTTTGCTAAGATATTTACATTTTAAAGAAACACCTATTTTAGCTGTATTTCAAAAGGAAGAACATATCTATGACAAGCTGATACCTCAGATACGGATATGTTTGTCCTAAGTCTCTCAGAATAGAAGATCATCAACAACAAAAAATTCCACAAGGCATATTAGAAAGTTATGGGTTTTTCAAAAAACTCTTGATTTTCTAGATAAATGTTAACAAAAACCTAGCTCACAATAGAAGGCCATGGCTTTTTGTTCTGGAGGAGAGATATTTCTAACGACTACAAAGCATATTTATGAACTAAATTACGACTCGAAATAAGTATCCTGCAACCGAGTCGGACATCCGACGTCTGGATACCAACTCGAAGGATTGATTCGGATCTCGAGTATGATTTCGTATTGGATCCAACCTGACAATTAATAAGGATTTGACGTTTGAAAATATTTTTATTTTTTCAAACTGCTAATTTATATGAAAGATATTGTTTTATTAAAAGAATTTTTTTGTTGAATAGGTGCGCCTATTGGTGGTTTGGGTTGTGGAACAATCGGTCGAGGATTTAAAGGAGAATTCTGTCGATATCAACTTATACCCGGTCTTTATGAATTTAATACGGTTGAAACAAATACAGTTAGTTGATTTTGTTTTTTTTAAATATATGTTTAATTTAAAAATCTATTAGTTTACTGTTTGTATTCGTCGTCGACATTTAACAACCTATTGCCAAGTGTTAACAACAAATCGATTACGACAAAAAGGGTTTCATACATGGAATAGTGCATTTCCAAAAGAAAATGGTCATTATCAAGCTTTATATCCACAATCATGGACAACATATGATTTACCCGGTCAAAATGTTCGATTATTGTGTAAACAATTATCACCTTTTATACCAAATGATTATAAAGTATTTTTATAATTAACTATTGAAGTCGTATTTAAAAATATCATCTTCTTATATTTTTTTTTATAAAGGATTCTTCACTGCCAGTTGCTTCTTTTGTTTGGTATATTGAAAATTTAAATGATGAACCAATTGAAGTTAGTATAATGTTTACATGGCAAGCTGGTTCAGGTTATTTTAATATTTTTTTCCTTATTCGAATCTATTTTATTTGTTTGTTTCTTTTAGCTACTAATGAATTCTTATGTACAGATATATCTCATGAATCAATTCATGTTTCTAATGATGATATATCAGCTACTGGTATATCAATAAAACAAATAATACGTGATATGAATCTTGAATATTGTATAATGGGAAAAAAAGAAGTTTGTTTTATTTATTAGTAAATAATTTTAAGAATTAAGATGAGAATTTTTTTCTAGTCAGATAATATTATAACAACACTAACAAATTTTAATGTCAATTCAGATATAGAAGGACGAAATGTATGGCTTGATTTAACAGAAGATGGTCGATTAACAGAAATTGAATCAGAAAATCCAAGAATAGCAACTTTAAATACAGCTAGTTGTGTATGTATAACAACAACGATTGAACCAAATTCTATAAAAACATCAGAATTTGCACTTGCTTGGCATATGCCAAAAATTAAATTTGGTCTTGGACAAAAAATCTATCCAAAGTTGATTAGTTTATTTATTTATTTATCATTCAATACTGAATTTTTTTTTTTTATTAGATGGTATACGAAATGGTTTGATCAAACAACATTGAATGGAACAGTACTTTGTCTTCATACAATGAATAATCGATTAAAATGGGAAGAAGCTATTAGTAAATGGCAACAACCAGTTTTAGATGATTCGTAATTGAATTAAATTTATAATAAAATTTATCTTGAATTGTTTGTTTTTTTGTTATTGTTGTTGTAGATCATTACCAGATTGGTATAAGAGTGCATTATTTAATGAATCATATTTTGTAGCGGATGGTGGTTCAATTTGGCTTGATGTAAGTGATGATACAACATTACCTGAACATGTTAGAAATTGGGGTCGATTTGGATATTTAGAAGGTAGTTAATTTTTTTTTTGTTATTATTGTTTTGAGTATAATGTTAAGGTCATGAATATCGAATGATAAATACATATGATGTTCATTTTTATGCTTCATTTGCTTTAATACAATTATGGCCACAATTAGAATTAAGTATTCAATATGATTATGGTAAAAAATTTAATTTTTTTTTATATCAAAAAAAAAAAATGAATTATTGTTTTAGCTACTTCAATAGTATTTGAAAAACTTGAATCACGTGTTTATTTATTTCATGGCCAATCAGGTCTATGGAAAACATTAAATTCTGTCCCACATGATCTTGGTGATCCTGGTAAATTAAATTAGTTATTATCATTTTTTTTTATATGAAAATAATTCTATTTAATAGATGAAGAACCTTGGTTATTTGTTAATGCTTATATAGCACACGATACAGCTGATTGGAAAGATTTAGGTCCAAAATATATTTTACAAGTCTATCGAGATTATATTTATACACAAAATAAACAATTTCTTATTAATGTATGGCCAACGATAAAAGTAAAAATAATCGAAAGTAAAAAAAACAAAAACGTTAAAGATTTTATTTTTCAAAGCTTGTTATGGATCGTCTTAAAACGCAAGATACTGATGGAGATGGTCTAGTAGATAATGGTGGATTTGCTGATCAAACTTATGATGCATGGACAGTAGTTGGAGCAAGGTTTATCTATTTTTATCGCTTAAATACTATGATTAGTCTGAATTTTATTATGTTTTATTTTTTTGTAGTGCATATTGTGGAGGTTTACATATAGCTGCACTTCGTGCTTGTGTTGAAATAGCTCGAATTATGGATGATACAAACATGATAGATGAATATGAAGTATGGCTTCAATTAGCTAAAAAATCTTTTTCAGAAAAATTATGGAATGGTTAGTTTATTGATTTTATCTAACTATTAAAGATAATATAGATGATGGCGGAGTCGAGAAGCTTGAGTAGACTGAAGTCTACGCTAAATTAAAGTGTCGTAGGCATAAACATTTGTTTCTTAGTTCATCAGATTGATAGATTTATACATTACATTGAAAACATTGAAGTTTTACACTGCTGTCGGCAGCAAATTGTAACATTTTCTAAGTGAAACAGACTGAGAAAACGTTCTTGAAGAAACATTAAATTTTGTATGACTAAATATTAGATCCGATATTGTCAACAATTTGTGACGCACCGTTTTAAATCGGATCTATATCAATTAATAGAGCTCGATGAGACTAGACGAAACCTAAAAGGGTTCATCCCCATACGCTGTCGTTCTCAAATTATGACTGTCTTACCCAATTTTCGGCCTCTAACACAGTATATATGGGAAAATTAAACCAAGGGACTTCGACCCAAAATTTTGTCCATCGATAAGTCTCATGATCCTTAGAATGTTCTAAAAGTTTCAGGTGAAAAGAATGTTTTCTTCTGCAGATATTGGGTATTCAAAAAACGATCATGTATCGCAAGGAAAGGTTAGCAAAACGAGTGTCTTCAACATTCAATATCTCAAAAGAAAAGCATTATTTTCGGCTGAAATTTTTAGGATATTCTAAGGACCATAGGACTTATCAATGGGCGCAATTTCAGGTCAAAATCCCGTAATTCGATTTTCCCATATGTACCTTGTTATAGGCCAAAAATTTAGTAAAACGTTCATAACTTTGGAAGAACAGCATATGGGGACGAATTCTTTTAAGCTTTGTTTAGTCTCATCGAACTCTACTAACTGGTATAGATCCGATTCAAAACGGCACGTCACACTTGGGGACCTTTCCTTGTAAGATCTATCTCTATGCAAAGTTTTAAGTCGAAATTCGAAAGTCAATTTTTCTGATGTTCTTGAGAGGGCTACGATGTTTTGCTAAAAAATACAATATCTCAATAGCAATAAGCTGTTTGCCAGAGCTCATTTCGGTCTATATAATACAAATTGTCCTAACGCAAAAGCGACTAAACAGTACAAAAATTTTCTTCATTAGTCTTGGACGATTTCTTTTAACTTTCGACTAGTATTACTAAGTCATCAATCTTCATTCTAAGCACCGATCGTTTCAAAATCTATTCGATTAAAAAAATAATCTATATTTTTTTAGGTACATATTATAATTATGATTCGAGCGTATCACTTCATCATGATAGTATTATGTCTGATCAATTAGCTGGTTTTTGGTATTTACGTTTATCTGGTCATAAATATGAAGTAAATATATATATATTTATATATAGAGAAATAAATTATAGATTATTTATTTAAATCTTTTCTTTTCTTTTTTTTCTTCAGGATTTTGAAAAAGATCGAGTAGATAGTGTACTTGCTACAATATTTAAAATGAATGTAATGGAATTTGGTAATGGTAAATTAGGTGCTGTTAATGGAATGACTAAATCAGGAAAATTAGAAATTGTTAGTATGCAATCTGAAGAAGTATGGACTGGTGTTACATATGGTTTGTCATCAACAATGATTATGGAAGTAATATTTTATTTATGAAATTCTGCATTTTACTTTCTTTTTTCTATATCTGATTTGTTTTTGTATTAGAATTTAACACATGAAGCATTTCTAACAGCTGAAGGTATTTATAATACATGTTATAATATAGCTGGTTTAGCTTTTCAAACACCTGAAGCAATAACACGTGAAGATCGTTTCCGATCTGTAAGTAATTTATATTGATTATACAAGAAGAAAAACATCAATTTATTGCTTAATTTTTTAGTGTGGATATATGCGTGCATTAAGTATTTGGGCAATACAAAAAGCACTTGAATTATCTCGAACGGAAGCAAACAATAATAAAGATGAAGTGTAGTACATTTTTAATTTGAATTCAATTCTTAGCTTCTGGAATAATCTAGCTATAGTGAATCAATTTACAAAAAAAATCTGTTTATTGTTTTATAAATAACAATGAGTATCTCGATCAATCATTCCTTTTTTTTTTGTATTTTTATTTTTTATCATTCCGATGCGCAATGATGATTGAAGTAGTTTGTATATTTGAGGGTGTTCAATTTTTTAAAAATTTTATTCTAATGTTTATCTTATTCTCGTCTTTTCTTTCTTATCAACGTCAAATAATCGAGCCAAATAAAAAGTAACTACGATGATATTCAGTTCTTTAGAATATATTAGTCAATATTACAAGCGAAAGTAGAGCTGAAAAAGATGTTATGTTACATAAATAGGGATCAATCAGCTGCAGCTCATACGGTTAGATCAAATGGAAACATTTCCTCTAATCGAACTTCAGCCATGTCTTCCAAATCTTGAAAAATTTTCGTTTTCTTCCAGTGTTTTATTATTATTTTTTTCGCTTATTGATTTTCAAAACACGATTAAATCTTCTCCTTCAAAGTCGATCAATTTTAGCAAAAATTTTTCAATCGAGCTTCTGAATCATCAATCTTGCCCAACCCTGGCGAGCTCGGAATGTGCCATATTCCATCATACTCGATTAATCGATATTTGGAATTAAATATTATAACACTTGATATCATTATTTCTACTCGTCTACGATTGAAAATTGTAACTGGTAGAGTGTCTTCCTTAGTAGTATCAGTTTTAATGATCAGATCAGAGCAGTCTTATTCTATAAGAGTCTAATCAATCGCTCGATTGACCATAACCGTCTCTTACGAAGGAACTTATCCGAATAATCATCTTCGTTTGAGTTCGTAATGTAGATAAAATTTCTGAAAGAGTTCGCGTCATTAGGCTTTTCTTTCTCGAGTTATGGTCATTCTACTAAACTTTCCATCTATTGCATGATATAACGAAAAAAATCATAACAAGGAGTTTCGACCTAAAATTCTCCTCAACAATAGCTCTCATAGTCCTTATGATATTTTGAAAGTTACAGTTCAAACGGTTGATTTCTTCTTAAGATATCGTGTGCCTCACAATAGGGCTCTTTTTGGAGCTCTTGTATGAAAGTAACATTTTTTTGCAAACGTATTATCTAGGAAGGAAAACATCCATTTTAGCTGAAATTTTCAGGATATCATAATGGGTATGAGAACTATTGTTGAGGCGAATTTCAGATCAAAACTCCTTGTTGTAGTTTTTCTTCTAATATCCTGCAACAGACTAAAAGTTCAGTAAAATGACTATAACTCGAGAAGATCCAATAGCACGAACCCTTTCGAGATTTTTATCTACACTATGAGCTCAAACGGAGATTATCAATCGGATGGGTTCCCTTGTTAATGAGCTTAGAGATGACGTAAGGCTTCTATTACAGTACTATAGTATTTTTCATATTTATTACCATTAATATTATTCTTCCGGTCATCTATCAGTAAACAATGAACTTCATAGGACTATATATTTGCTTTGTGCATTGATTAAATAATCACCAGATATGAATCAAATTTTATGAAATATGCAAAAAAAAAAAACATTTGGATCGATCGTTACAATAAAAAGTTATATCTACCGATCCATAAATATGATCATTATAATTCTGTTAGGATTACATTTTTTATTAATTCTTCTTGATGCACAGTTGTTCGCATAAAATCAAACAGTATTTTTTTTTACTCACTCAATGTTAAAATAAAAATCACATCAATATCGTTTTGCTCAAAAATAAAAGATTATCACATATGAAATCAAATATATAAAAAAAAAGAAAAATTTGTCTCGTTTCAAAATATGTTTTATAATGAATAAATAAAGTTAAATTCACTGAAGTACACAAACAGAACTTTTACTTAGAGGCGCTCGGGGTTTTAGTTTATTTTCTACACCAACACCTAATGAATGATGTCGTTCACGTTGTATACAACCTATTCAAAACAAAAATTCTTTTCAACAACATATAATTAAAATAAAACCTACCACGCTTGTAAACTTCATAATTAAATTTTCCATATGAAGGACTTCCTCTAAAATATATTCGAATAAAGAAAAAAGAAAGGAAAGACAAGTTGTCTAAGTCTACTTACTGATGTACACCAGGTTTAACTTTAAGACGAAAATGAGCAACAACAGGTTTATGATCCGAATGTTTTACACTTTCAATAGACTTATATTGTGTACATTGAATTTGTAATTCTGGTTTATCTCGATAAAGAATACGATCCTTCAAAATAAATTTCATATATTGCAGTATTTGTTTCAATCAGTATTATAAATGAATTTTTCAAAAGTTGTACAACTTGTAACACTATTCTCTCACATGTTAGATAATTCACAGAGATCTATTGTCTTGTAATTTAACAATATGTCATATGAATCTAATATTCATGCCAGAATTAATGAAAGGTTGATATGTAAATTCGATAACTCAACAACGGAAACTGTTAATGATCTGCGATTTTCAGAAATCCAAAGAGAAAAACTCGAGATGTCTTTTGGTCTGATATTGTATATGATAAAATTATTTTAGAATCCATTATCTTCTCAAAAAATGCATGAAAACGATGTTTCATTTCAAGAAAATTTGCTAAAAATCAAAAGAATTCTATATAATTTGACTAAATAGGTATGCAATTTCATATGTTCAACATTGAAATATGAGAAGGTAAGTACCTGAATTCAGCCTTGAGCCATAGATCTAACAATGGAAACGGTTTCAAGTGATAAACGTTGATCGGGCTCAAAATTTGTCCATAGTTAGAACTCAGTGATACTAGTATAAGCCCAGAAGGATTCGTGCTTCTGGCATGTCCTTCTCGAGTTATGGCCGTTTTACTAAATTTTCGACCTTAGCGTAGTTATCTAGTAAACAATCGTATCATGCACTTTTGACTTGAAATTTTGCCCATGCATAGATCTCACTATTATTAGATTGTCCTAAAAGTTTCACCTGAAACGCACGATTTCTTCTCGAGATATTGAATGGTCAAGAAAGCCGATGGTCTGAACGTTGTCTGTGAGATATGACATTTTCTTGATCATGCAATATCTCAAGAAGAAATCGTGCATTTCAAGTGAAACTTTTAGGACAATCTAATAATAGTGAGATCTATTCATGGGCAAAATTTCAAGTCAAAAGTGGGTGATACGATTGTTTACCAGATAACTACGCTAAGGTCGAAAATTTAGTAAAACGGCCATAACTCGAGAAGGACATGTCAGAAGCACGAATCCTTCTGGGCTTATACTAGTATTACTGAGTTCTAACTATGGATAAATTTTGAGCCCGATCAGCGTTCATCACTTGAAATCCTTCCATTGTAAGGTTCTTCTACCTGAAGCAATGTAACATCGCTTTTTATTTTGAATGTTTTGCGAAGATAATGAATTTTAAAATAATTTTGTCTTATATAATACTAGATAAAAAAGACGTTCGGAGTGTCTTCTCTTTCGATTACTGAAAATCGTAAGTCGCTAACAGTTGTCATTGTCGAGTTATTGGGGTTACACTCACCGATCTTTAATTCAGGTGCGGACATTAATGGCGTAATTGCGAGATCGAGCATGTAAGAGCAGTGCCGTACGATTTTGGAGGGGAAATCCATGAAATATAGTGTCAATAATGGAAATGATTACGTTTTTCTTTTATCTGGTGGTAGGACAGTGCCTGATCTAGCCCACAATTGATTACGCCACTATGTTAGACATCAAGTTCATCATCTTTTATTACAAGGTTACCAATGATATGCAAAAAAAATAGACTCAGAACGATGATTACAATTACCGAGACAGCCAAAACCTGCACCCTGTGCACTATGGTTAACACAGCTTGCGGTCGTGAACAGTTGTAAATTGAAATTCGGTAGGCGCAGTATTATGACTGTATTTTATCATGTCGTGCACAGTTGATAACAGTCTGAAAACAGAGTTTTGCAGGGTAAGGGTAGGGTAAGGGTAGTGCAAAAAATATTTATGATGAAATTAGGGTGTTGTTCCTATTGCTAAGAGTTTTTTGACAAGCAACCTCGACGACACTCCCGACATCTTTCTAATTCAGACGCAGTCGGTTCTTATGTTACAGAGAAATTAAGTTTTGATAAAGAAGAATCAGTATTGAACTGTTCACAACTTAGTATATTAGAAAAATAATATTTGGAGTTCCAGCAAGTAAGCGTATTTTCAGTGCAAGTGGAAGAGTTTTACAAGAGAGAAGATAGAATTGAACGGTAACATTGCTAATGACATTTTATTCTTATAAAACTTTTGAAATATTTGATAATATTGTTGAAAGTCCATAAAGTATGCTAAACATAGTAAAGAAAACGCCATATTAACATCTGGCAAAACCTGAAAATCTCGAGTGTAGGATATAGGATACGAATAAGTCTTACCCTACAGGACTCTGTCTGACAATCGAGTGTCCGATTATTTACAACACAATGAATTATATCAACAAAATTAATTTTCAATGATAAACAAATTATATTAATTAGAACTGATATCTTCTATTAATCCATTGTATGCTAGATTTTGGATGCTTATAAACGAACTGAATCATATAGGATCAGATTATAGATCTGTAACTGAAACTAAAAACATCAAAGAAATTTTTGTTCAGACGTCAATCGAATAAAATCGCAAAAGAAAATTTGATTTCTAATTCAATTATGAATTATTCTTACTGTATATGATGGTGTCCGATTTTTAACATAAGTATCATCATTACAACGTAAATCAAATTTATATGTCGGAGGAAAATCAATATTCGCTTCTTTAAAGTCACAATATCGATCACCTTAAATAAAAATAAATAAAACTTATTTTAAATTTCTTCAAAAACAAAAAAGAAAATATTTTCTCTACCTGTTTTCTGTTGTAACATACGAAATTCATCGTTAAGCAAAATTTCAGTATAATTTTTTCCATTACAATGATCTAATGCTTCTTGATATTTCATTTCAATTCGAAAATTCATATCACCAGCCCATAGAATACAATCACATGCTTTTGTTATATCTAAGAAAATCAATATAGACTTCAATATATCAAAAAAAAAAAGAACAAAACACACATTAAATGGAAAATTTACCTACGTCTGTATTTGGAACGTCATCAAGTGACACTGTTGATTCAGAACGTTTTAAACCTTCTGCATCACCTAAAGATGCTAGAGATCTACTTGGTGCAATAGTTCTTTGAACATATTCATTTGGTATTGTTAATTTCGCTAGTGTATTTTGAAAATTTAATCGTCGATTTGATCGACCTTCGGAACCTTCACCAGCTAAACAACAAAATGATTATCAATAATTTGATAAACTAGTATTTATATAATTAAACCTTCAAAATGTGAATTAATAATCATAAATGATGTACCAAAAAGATTAAAAGTTACAACTAATGAACCTTTTGTACGAATAGCATTCATAGCTCGAAATTTAATTATATCTTCTTCAGGTTCTAAAAGAAAGACAAAAAACAAAAACAAAAAAAACTTAGTTTTAAATAAAATGAATCTTTTTTTCTTTGTTTTGTTATATACCAGTACAATACCAAATTAAATCTCTTCGTAAAAATATACACAATGATAAAGTACCAAAATGAACTGAATGAAATAAAACATGAGCTTGACCAATAACTTCTTGAAGTAAAATTTCCCAATCCATTCTATATCAAAGAATATATACAAATATAAATATAAATATTTATATTAGTTAATACCTATTTTTTACTGCAGACATTTCTTGTGTACAAACAATAATTACATCAGAAACATAATCAATAAATGTTGGTAATAATATATCACACATATCATCAAGCATACGTTCTTTTGGTTGAGCTGTTTCTCGAGCTGTTGGTGTATAATTTTGTTCATATAATTTTGGTGCTTCACCTGTATTCCATGTAACCATCATTATTGTTAATGATCGTCCATTTGGAAAACATGAAGAAATATCATGCATAGGATTTTGTGGTAATTGTCGTGAAGATCCAACAAGAAAATTTCTAATGAAAAAATAAATTTCTATTTCATAAAAAACAAAAATCAAAATAAGTATTTTTACCTTTTTCGAGCATCCTTTGTTGAGAGTAAATGAAAAGGAGCAATTGCTTGGAGAATTGATAAACTACTTCGACGACGGGAACGATGTTGACTAATATTTGTCGGTTCAACAGCAGCAGCATTTGGATCTGCCAATGGTGTACTTTTGATCAATTCACTGATAGTACTATTAGCCTCGGATTCTTCTGGAACTGATGCTAGTGAAAAGGAAGGTCTAGAATCTCTTGTTTTAGGTTTCTCAGTATCATCTGTCATTTTTTTATTCTTTAGTTATTTAGTTAAACATTAGTAGAAGACGAAATAAATTGTTCTTTTTTTTTCATTCTAAAGTTCAAAGATTCAACAGTGCGAAAATTGATTTCTATTTTTCTTTTATTGCTTATTCTAGAGATTTGATCGATCGATTTATTGCACGATAAATATATGTGGTTTCTATAGAAACAAGATTTTCAACTTGAAAAAATGATTGAAAATATATTTAGTTATTATTAATCAATAGCTTTGTAATATGAAATCTAATATTTCATTTCAAAATATGAAATTGATTTGATTTATTATCACTGTTCACCAATGCCATCTATCAATATTCTTCTTTGGCTATGTTATGCTAATCCTGATAACATGAATAAGAGTATTTTATTTCTTTTGAACAAGAGAAAAAGCAATTAGTACAAATACTTATGTGATTAAAATAATGTGAAATATCATTGATCTATATATATATATATATGTATTAATATAATCGTGATAAAAGTTGTTAGTCGTAATATATTACAGTGAGTTTAAAAGGAAGACTAAGGACTGGTATTTTGAATTCAATCTTCTTTCATAATAATCCTATAGAAGGCTTTAGTTCCATGGCTAAGTCTGCCACAGATTGCAATGGATCAGAGAGTTGTTGTCACAGTTAATACGGAAGGGGAAGTTCAGATGTCTATCTTTATACTTCAGCATTTATTTTAAATCATGTTTTACAAAAATGTTGTATAAGATTTAGTATAATAAACAATAAGTTATATACAATATTATGGTATTAGTTTCAATTCGATACAATCCCATGAAATGCCTGTTTTCCAATTTCCATTATTCCAATTGCGTATTCCCATGAAAACTGTTGAAAGTTCATAAATTATAATGTGACCCATATTAATTGAAAACCAATGAGTACCATGTTCGAGTGTATAATTTTGAAAATCATTTTCAGATATTTTATGAATTAACATTTTTCCATGCAATGGTACAATGATAAATTCTGTTTCTCCCCATATATTGACATGATTTGAATGACCTTTCATTCGCCATATAACTTCATATTTTCCAGGCATAATATCATATTCAAAACGACCACTTATCTCAAGCCAACATACTTGGTTTAAACGAATAATACGACCTATTAAACTATCTTTATCATTATATTCGACAAGATAACGATCATTACGATGAATAACATACATATTAACGACTGAAGTTCGTTTTCGATCAATTAAATAAAAATAGATTAATTTCATAAATGGAATTTCTAGAATATTTTTTGGTTTTTTATATTGAAAATATTGTAGATTAGTTAAAAAATTTTCTTTTGATATATACATTTTAGCATGACGCTTTTCAATAGTTTCATCATTATAATGTGTAGCTGAATTTATTGCAGCAAGATCAAGTTCATGATCACCTCTGTTATGATCGAAACCAGATGGACGAACTTCATCTTGAGTTAGAATATTTTCAGGTTCTTGAAATAAATCTAATGTATAAAGTTTAGAAATAGATTGAGGAAATTGACAATGTATACGATGAATCCAAAAATTATCATCATTAATTAGTGTATAAAACGATCGACAAGTTTTACTCAAAGAAATAATATCACGAACATTTAAATATTCAGTGATAGTTTGAAGAAGTTCAGATGGAAGATGAAAAATCCAACATACTTTCGATACATTATCTGTTGAACTCTGATCGTTTGATGATGAAATCCAATGCATAAATGATTGAAAAGCATTACGAATATTTTTTTTTGCCATTTCAATCTAAAAATACTCTACTATCAAACAATATTAAATAATAATTGTATTGATTAGTTTTCTTTGTTTCAAATTGTTCTATTTTATTTGACGATAATTATAAATTTAAAGGAAACACAAAAAGAAATAGGACAGCTGACAAAGACACACACACACACACACTGTTATGTTTGAAATTTGTTAATATTTAAATAGGTGTATTCTTCCATATTTAAGTATCTCATGTTATTTTATTATTGTTCAATACAAACTGAAGCAATAGAAAGATCAAACAGACAAATACGCATACATAGAGAGAATATTATTGTTGTTGTATCACGACTAAGAAACACTGAATAGTATTATTGCGAGTATATATGATAATGTTAAATGACTATCGTTGATAATATAAATATGATAACGTATCGTCATTAAGATTTAATTTTTCGAGTATAGCACGTTTGTAAGTCGGTAATCTATTTTTGATCATAAGACGACAACTCTCTTTGAGTAAAAATGGATTACGTGCACGCCATGATAGATACATATCAATTGGTTGCATACGTTGAACATGCTCGCATTCGAGTAATTTTAATATAACGGTATTATTCGTCAGAATAAGATGACCCATTAAAATAAGATTGTCATAAAAACGAACGATATATTCATATATTTGATTGACTCCTTCGCCTAAAATATCGTTAAATATCAATTTATCTTCAAAAATATATTTATTTTTTCTCACCTGTATTTTCAACACTATTATAAATAGCCCGAAAATAAACATCTAATAAGTCCAAATATTTAGTAAAATCAATTATTTCATGATATTTAAGTATAGTAAAAAGAAGTGATGTACGTAAATAAAGTATTTGAATTCGATCATCATTAATTGTTACAAATTGAGCCTGTAAAATATGTAAAAATCGTCGAAGTAAATCACCAAAATCATACATTTTTAATTTTGATGTTGGAATAGCATCAAGTATCGTTTCTAATACCTCAAATGCTCTATCTGATTGAATTTTATTTTTCAACATAAGATTACTTAATACAGTAAACATAAAATCACTGTTAAGTTCTTCCCATACATTAGGTACAAAAATACGTAATGCATCAATTTGATCATTAATAAGACATTGTCGAAGTATATCACCTTTTTTCTGTAATAATAATGATTCATCATAATTTGATGTTCCTTTAGTTTTTTTAAGTTTATCAATAAAAACATTTAAAACACGAATACGATTAAGTCGAATAGCATCTTGTAAAGGAGATTTTTCAAAATCATTGTTAGCATTTAATATCTCACTTCCATGTTCAACAAGTTCAATAGCAATATCTTCAAAACCATATTTGACTGCAAGTGAAAGTGGACTATCACCATATGTTACATTGGCACGTGTTAAACGATTATTACTGCGTGCATTTGATAGATTAAGTTCTCGTTTAAGATGAACATCAGCATCATGAGCCAATAAATAACGAACTATTTCAATATGACCTTTATGGCTAAAACAGAAAAAAAAACACGATAGAAACAAATATACTAGTGTAATATTTTTTATTTTGTTTTTTAAAAATTTTCTTAGAAAAATCTTTAATCTTTAAGTGACTTACCTAGCAATACATAATGGATAATCATTATTGAATAATTCATTAACATTAACATGTTTTTCTTCAACACATCTTTTTACGAGTTCTAAATGATTAAATTTGCAAGCATTATAAAATAATTCCATAAGATTGTCAGTTGAATTAACTGCATCATCAATAGTTAAACCAAAGAAGAAGGCTTGTTCGAATGATGATTCTTGCGGTTTTGAAGTTGTTGTTTCATTACTAATCGCCTCTTGTGTTACTAAAGTAGTAGAAGTTGATGATTGGTTCATATTGTTACCACTACTATTACTATTTAGTGTTGATGATGTTGTGTTTTTATCTTTCAATTGTGCATGATCACCACTGTCAGGAGTTGTCATCGTCGTCTTATTCGTTGTTGATCAATCGGTAGAGAGAGAAAGATGTTTAAAAAAAATTATTTTTGTCAATAGTTAGAGATACAATATAGTCAGTAGCCAAAGTAAAACAGTAAGCGAAGTAGACGAAGAAGAATGAGTAAGACGTGTTAATGGTCAAACAGAACAGCAACACCCATCAATCATCTATAAATAAAAAAAAGAAAAAAAGGCAACAAAGAAAAAGACCAATGAGTAAGACCGCAATCGGAGATTAGATGGCATACTATGCCGAACGAGAAAAAAAAAGAAGAGGCCAATAATTGAATGTCTGTTATAATGGTTGAGAAAAAATCGTCATTCTTTCTCAATTATTCTCTTTGTTCAGGCGTCATACATGTACGTTTGAAACAGTTGTACTCAAACCAAGTAAAAGAAAAAGAAACACTCGAAGTGATACAAACGAAGCAAAACGAGATATATAATTATATATATTCAAGTAAAAGTGCAATGACTATTTGCACAAATGCAGACACTCATTTGATCGTTCAAGGTAGTAAAATGCATCGATACGAGACCAAAAAAAGATATATATATATATTGTATGTGAGCTTTTCTTTTTTTTTCACATATGAAACAATCTTAGATAAATAACTTCTATTTCTAAGTTGTCGTCATCATCATTGGATTCCATTTGAAATACACATCTTCAAAGACAACTCACATACATTTCAGAATCCGTCTACATGATCTTTTCTCAGAAAACAATAACTATGAATGCTTGAAATTTAATTAAAATGTATTGTAAGTATTTTTGTTCTACTGTCAAGTGGACATTGATTAATTTATGAGGCTAAAATCAATATTATTTGCGTGCGCACTTCTATGAGGTCAGCATGAGCCAATGATATTCATAAGCAAAACAAAATAGTAAAAATAACAATCAAATAAATAGACATGATTCTCTATTTTTAATATGTTTTGTGTACTATTGTTAGATACAATGAACAGACTGAAAACTTATTTGTCATATTTAATATATGTAGATGAACAAGATTTTATATATCTCACTCATACCATTGAGTTTCTTTCATCTCTCATTTCATCTAATTATACTATATGTCAAAAAAGATTGAGTGTATATGGGTAAGTCTAGCATTTCTATTGCTTAGTGTGTGTGTGTGTAATAAGCATGAAAAAAGAAACTATTAATAGTTGTGTTACAAATCACTCGTACTATTTAGTGATCGGTCAACTACATCGATAAAACATTCTTCACCAGTGAAAATATATAATTAATGAATAATAAATCATTCTGATTCAATCGATAAACGATAGGTTCTTTGTATATTTTTTTTTAAATAAGGAAAGAAACTCGGTAAAATATAGACAACATATTCTATAAATTACAAGATGTATAGAAAGCAAGAGAAGAAAGAAAATAAAGTTAATACACTTTTCGTTGTTTGTAAAAATAGAGAATAAAGAATAGTGTATTTGGATATAATTCAAGTGTGTACATATAATGGTATTCGAGGTTCATTACCAAAAACAAAGGCTTGAAAGATCTATGGTTACTAGTCCACTTCATCAACACCCGTTTCGACGAAGTCGCCTATGTATACACTTTCATGTTTAGCTAAAATACGAAGTAATGGTCGAAGTTTAAGCCACCATTGTTCAAGTGGCATACGATGTCTAGATAAAAATAAATAAAGTCTAAATGAACCAAAACAACATCAATTATTTACTCAATATCAGTGTTGGATTTAAGTGTTTCAACAGGTGTAATCGTATTTTGTCGTTTAACCAAACCTAATACAACAGCACTTTCGGGAGTATTACAAACAACTTTTCCTTCCTCTGTTGCGGCATTTTCAATTAATGATACTGCATATGTAACCGCTTTACATCCTAATTTCGTGCCAAATGCTCGATCGAATGGTGATGGTAAACCGCCCTAATGAAATTGAAATTTTAATCTATAAAACAAACAAAAAAAAATAATCAAATAAATTTTAACTTACTTGTTGCATATGACCAAGGACATTACTTCGTGCACTAAATACACCTTTACCTTCTTCTTGTAATAATTTTGTAATAAAATCAGTTGAATAATGTTCATTAGCCATTTCATTTCGAAGTAATAAACCACGTTTTAAATGTCCTTCCATTTTTTTACGTAAATGATCAACATCATCAATTAAATCTTTTATTGTAAATGGTTCTTCATATATATATGCTTGATCAGCACCACTAGCAAGGGCAGCCATTGTAGCTAAATAACCACAATAACCACCCATAGTTTCAATAACAAATATACGTCGTTTAGAACCTTGGGCAGATTGTTTAATTTTGTCACAAATCTTAATTAACACAAGAAAACGAATATTTAATTTTTTTCGTTCTTCTACTAATTTTGAATACAAACTTTAACAATTTCATTAAGTGCAGTATCAGTACCAATACTAAATTCTGTACCAGGTACATTATTTGAAATAGTAGCAGGAAGACAAATAAGTGGAATTTGAAATTCAGGATATTTATTTCGTGCTTCATACATTTGAAGAACTGATACATAAGCCTAAAAAAAAATATAATTTAATAAATAAAATATTTGAAATTCTTTTTTTTCTTTACTTCATATCCACCGATAATTAATAATGCATGAAAATTATGTTCACGAATTCTTTCTGCTATTAATGATAAACCAACTTTACCTGCACTTGTTCTACATAAGATTAAAAGAAAAATAATTTATTTTTAATATGTTTTTGTTTCATTTTCATTTACTTTTGACAACCAAGTAATGAACCACCAACACTACTCCAACCATTGACTGCCATCCACTGTAATGTTTTAACCTAAAATATATCAAATAGATAAATTTTTTTTTGATTTAAAAAAAAACTCATATTTCATACTTGATTATTGACTAAACCTTCAAATCCATCGAATACAGCAAACATATTATGTCCTTCACATAGACCAAAACGAACAATAGCACGTATAGTCGCATTAACACCGCAAGCAGGTGCACCAACATTAAGCATAGCCAAATTA